AAAATATAAAATAAAAAATATATTAAAATGATTTGAGATATTTTATAATCGTCTGCAGCACGGTATTTGCTGATTTTTGGTATTTCCTACTTACCGTGGGTCCTATTTTGGTTTTGTGAATGGCTAAATGGATCCAGAACAAACTGAGCATCGTTGCCGAGATGAATCCACCTGGTTCTGTTTCGTTTCTGTTTTATGAGAAACAAGAAGCGGGACCCGCGATACTCGCGCCCCCCCCCCCCGCCCCCGGGCCTTGGCGACCAGGCCTGAGTGGCTCCCAGCCGCCGGGCCTACCAGGCCTTCTCCTACCCCCACCCCCACCCCCAGCAGTGAGCCCTGAGTGGCTCCCAGCCACCTGCTCGCCGAACCTCACCCCCAAACAGCGGCGAGGCAGAGTTCCCAGAGCATTCTCTGTGCATGCGCAAGGAACGCTCTTTTACTTTTGGGGGGATTTAAATATCCCCCTATAGTTTGGGAGGACTGGTTCTCTCTTTATATGTGTTTTTTTCTTTTGCAAACTGGGTATTTTCTTCTGCCGCCAGGAATTTAAGGACTTCCAAACCTTCTCTCCTTTGCTATTGGTAATGTGACCCAGAGTCTGGGCTTTTCAGGGATCTATGTGGTCCTGAGGAAAGATAGAGCTGAATTCTGGGATAAACTTGAACAAAAGATGATTTATTGAAATAAGAACAAAATATGAGGTTGGTTATTCTGTAACTGTTTGGGAATAAGGGACTTGTAAATATGTCTGTCAGATATATCTCACACACTGTCCTTTTTCCTTTCCTTTTTGTTTTTCTTTTGACACTCAGATCCAACACTAACAGGAATCACTCGTTCATATAGGCAGCCACACAGGCTCTTGACAATTTTAAGAAGAAGAAGAGATTGGATTTATACCCCGCCCTTCACTTGGAGTCTCAGAGCGGCTTACAAACTCCTTTTCCCTTCCCCTCCCCACAACAGACACCCTGTGAGGTGGGTGGGGCTGAGAGAGCTCTGACAGAAACTGCTCTTTTTCAAGGACAGCTGTGCCAGAGCTTGTGACTGACCCAAGGTCACATCAGCAGGTGCAAGTGGAGGAGTGGGGAATCAAACCCGGTTCTCCCAGATTAGAGTCCGCATACTTAACCACTACACCAAACTGGCTCTCACTAACTTCCTTCTAGATCTTTAGAGTCTCACGTTTTAAGACATAACACTGCACTCTTTTAGATCCCACACAGAACTATCAGAACTCTCACTGACTGAACTCTCGAACTGAACAAATCCAACTGACTTTTTTTAACTGACGTTTCTATAACTGACTAACTGACACTCACACAGATCCACTTCAAAAACTCCTCCCACACTCTCTCATCCTCCAATCACTCCCCACTTGTCTCTCTCAATCACTCGACTCTGCATTCACTGCACTGCAAGTGTGCAGGAATACCTCTTTGCCCCCCCCAAGTGCCCCCGATGTGCGGATTTAGATATCCGCACAGAGGGGGCCTCTTGGCTATTAGTATACAGATATGGTTTTTTAACTGATGCTATTGTTACTGTGTGATTTGTAACCCGCCCTGAGCCCGCTTGCAAGGAGGGCAGGATAGGAATGGAATTAAATAAATAAAAATAAAACATATTCTTGCACGCGCACGCCGCTTTCCCTTCAGTCACACAGTGACGGTCCTTGAGCTGCGACGGCGGCCGCTGTCAAAACAACGCTTCTAAAGATCCGCACCTGGAGGGAGGGCTCCCGAGTTGTCAGATCCAGGTTGGGAAACACCTGGAGATTTATGGGTGGAGTTTGGGAAGGATGGGGACCTCACTGGGGTACAAGGACACGGAGTCCACCCTCCAACAGCCAGCCGGAAGCCATAAGAACATAAGAGAAGCCAATGTTGGATCAGGCTAATGGCCCATCCAGTCCAACACTCTGTGTCACACAGTGGCCAAAAACACCAGGGGCCCTCAGGAGGTCCAGCAGTGGGGCCAGGATACTAGAAGCCCTCCCACTGTTGCCCCCCCCAAGCACCAAGACTACAGAGCATCCCTTGCCCCAGACCGAGAGTTGCTATCTGTACCCTGTTCATAGCCACGGATGGACCTCTGTTCCACATGCTTATCTAATTCCCTCTTATAAGAACATAAGAGAAGCCAATGTTGGATCGAAGCACAGCCCCCCAGTGAGTACCGGATGACTGAGAATCCAATGAGTCAATCTTCGCACAGAATACCCCATTTAGAAATCTAAACTGCTCTGCTGGCTGGGATCCAGCTGATGTAATACGGCTTGGGGTGGGCCAGTTTTCTTCACTGCCCTCACAGAAACATGCCGACAGGCTCTGCTCAGTCAAATTCAGCCCAAGTCACTTGCCACGTGCTCTAGCAACCTCCCCCACCCCCCCGCCAGCTTGCTCCTGAGAGTCACGGCTAACCCGGATTTTAAATTACTCGCGGTCGAGGAAAGTAACCAACTGCCGAATCAGCCGAAGATGATAAAAGGTCGATTTGGCAGTGGCTGCCACCTGGGCCTCCATAGTTAAGGCGGGATGTATTAGAATGATGTATGCTGAGATTTTACGTAGTTTATTAAAATTATAATAGTGGTTTTTTTTTCTGCTTCTCAATGGGCCGTGGGCCTTAATAAAGACTGACGGACTCGAAGTACAAACTCTTAAATTAATACGAGAATTACAAAAAAGACAGCAACAGTTCTTGTGTCGTCATACATTTTCTCTTTAGATCTGTTAAAACCGTAAGATCCTGCCAAGTTTTCCACTGCTTCTCACCCAATTCCCACGCTCATGACAGCCCCCCCCGTCCCACATGGCTCTCGTCCATGCAAGCACCACGACTTCTAGCGTAGCAGTTTTGAGTGTTCAAAAGAGAATCCTCCTTTCTCTTCCGCCAGCAGAAAAGCTGCTCAGATCTAGTCCAAAAGATCTTCCAGAAAGGATCTTGGCAGATCAACCAACTAATTCAAGCAACAGGTTAGGTTTGTTATTTAACATACTGAACAGAACACAGGTGCAGCCAAAAATAAGACTCAAAAATACAGATTCCAACTTATGAGACATAGGCAGGCATTAATACTTTACCTGGGCCCCGGTCACACGGAGAATTTGCCACACGAAAGGCACGAATGTCGGGCGGATTTTCGAGGCGCGATCACACTGCAACAACTGTGAAGCGTAGAGCACCCGTGGCCAACCCGTGGCGTCCCGCCGAAGATGCAGAGTTAAAAAGTACCAAGGAAAGTGCACTAGTATTCGGAAAACACGCAGCACAGGTGGGCGTCTGATCACGGGCGCGCTAGTATCCCGTGGCATCTTGCGCCCATCCAGGTCCCGTCGCAAACCGGATGTTTTTCGTAAGCGTATGCGCACAAACACGAAACTGAAAGCAGTGCTGCTCCGCGGAACTGTGCATGCGCACAAACACAAAATGCTTGTGTGATCATGCCACGCCGCTTCTTTGCCACGCTGCAGCATCACCGTGTGATCGCCAGCTAACAGCCTAAGCACGGAGACTCGGGGGACTGTGTGATCGGGCTACCACGCTTTATTTTGCTCCAGGGCGAACAGCCACGCCTCCCCCCCCCAAGTTATTTGGCCCATGTGACTGGGGCCCTGGTATTTTTGGCCACTGTGTGACACAGAGTGTCGGACTGGATGGGTCATTGGCCTGATCCAACATTGGCATCTCTTCTGTTCTTACTTTGCTTTGTTCCACGGTGAAAATCAAAGCCCTTCTCTGTCTTTTTTGGCAGAACGTACAGCGTGGAATTCAGCACAAAACGGCTTTTGCTACAAACCGAAGATAACTGACCAACTGACTTGGCTGTGTTCACTTAGGAAAACACGGCTGGAAACCAATGCTCCCTGTAAGCTGCGGAGTCTTGTGAGCAAAAGTTCCACTTTGTGAGCTTGCCGGCATTAAAGCTGTGAGCCAGCGATTTGGCTGCTGTGTAAACTAAGTTTGCTCTGGAGCCCTCCTTCCTGAGCCGAGACAAAAATATGTGAGCTGGAGGCTACAAAAACTGTGACCTGGCTCACACCAGCTCAACTTACAGGGAACACTGCTGGAAACTAACCTGAAGGTAACAAGGTAATGTAGAAAGGCAGAACCCAGAAGGATCAAAATTAAGGTTGCCAGACTCCGGGCGGCACCTGGGGATCTCCTGCTATTACGGCCGATCCCCTGGAGGAAATGGCTGCTTTGGAGGGTGGACTCTACGGCATCGTACCCTGCCGAGGTCCCTCCCCTCCCCAAACCCCGCCCCTCTGAGGCTCCGCCCCCCAAATCTCCCGGTATTTCCCAATTCAGAGCTGGCGACCCTAATTAAAACAGTTCTCCCACCAAACGTGCAGGTTCCATTCTAACAAAAGGTAAGCAAAAGCTTCTGTAGGGGGAAAGTTTCCTTTGAGATGACCTGTTAGAACCTGAGTAGACGGCACGGTATCTTGTGGCCAGATGGCCACTTCGCACCAAGGATAAGGCGGGCACAGGCTTGTCACGCTAAGCATTCGGGCAACTTAACAGAGATTTAAGGGTACACAAGGGGGTGACAGGAGGCAACGGTTGGCCTTTCAAAGCAAGGGGAAGAGCATTTCGATACTGTGGTATCAGAACCCGGAACAGGAATCAGAGAGTAGTGAAAATAAGCCTGTTGGAGCTCCTCATCCAAGCCTGACCCTCCAGCCTGACCGCCCCTCTTTAGGGCAGACATCAAAACAGATCGCGGGAACAGGGCGTTCCAATGACACAGATGTCAAAGTCCCATCTGGGTCGTCAGCAAATCGTCCTCGCGGTGCTTCCAACACACTAAATAACACACTTTCCATCCACTTTCAGTGCACGCTGCAACTGGATTTTACCGTGTGAAATGGCAAAATCCACTTGCAAGCGGTTGCTGAACTGGATCGAAACGGCATTATTTAGCAGGTGTGCCAGTGCCCTTCGGCCAAGAGAATGAAAGGTGGGAGACACCTGGAGAGCCGAGAGGTACTCACCGCATCCGGAAATGCAGAGTCAACTTGATTCCGCCGGCGATTTCGAAGACATGGTTGGGAGGGAACCACAGCTTGGCTTGCGGGTCATAGAGGGCAAACAGACTGTAGCAGATCGGGGTGATCCCTGTGGGTAACAAGAAGGAGGCTGAGGGGGAAAGTCGTTTCTCGTGCTTATCCCATCTGAATCTCAGCGGCACAGTTTCCAGAAAGCCACCCCTCGATGGTTAGCCCAGGGGTGTCGAACTCATTTCTTATGAGGGCCGGATCTGACATAAATGAGAGACCTTGTTAAGCCGGGCCGGGTGTGTCATAAAATGCAATGCCAGGTAGCGGAGATATAAACTTTATAAAGGACGAAAACACAAAGGGGATTTTTAAAACTTAAAATAAAGACATGCTTAAATATTCTGTTTATTTAACAGTGTCTGATAACGGACACCTCTTGGCTCTGAATTTTTGCATCAAAACGCCTGTGCCATTGCAATCTTGAGTCTGCTGTTCAGGTTATCTGTAAGCTGCAAACCTACGATGACACAGCAGCAGCAGCAGAACTGGAAGAAGAAGCAGAAGGCAGCCAATTCCACTGCGGGCCTGAGAGAAGCCCTCCGGGGGCCTGATCCGGCCCTTGGGCCACATGTCTGACACCCCAGGGCTAGCCAGTTCCTGTCTCTCGCCCAGAGATGGGATTCTTTCCCATACTTTTTATTTACTTATTTTAAACAGTTTCATGTCACCTTTCCACCCGATCAGGGGTCCTCAAATCGGTGCATGCAAAATATTAGAGCATCAGTACAATTAAAAACATCATTGACGTTATAAAATTATTCAATAAAAACACAGAAACAACCTCCAGAACAGGGAGGACGGCCAATTACCATTACGAAGCAAAACAAAGCAAAAAAGTCTTTGCCCACTGGTGGAAGACACGGAGAGAGGGAGAGAGAGAGAGAGAAAGAGAGAGAGAAAGAGAGAGACAGAGACACAAAGCCCCTCAAAGTTCCACAGTTTTGGGGCCACGACCAAGAAAGCCCTTTCTCGGGTGGCCACCCATCTAGACTTGGATGGCAGGGGGCAACCGAAACTGGGCCTCCAAAAATGACCTGAGTGGGCCAGTAGGATCATAGGGGATACTTTTTACTGTGGGAGGAATACTGTTAAATATCCCAACAGGCCAAGGACGGACCTTGATAAACAATGGTCTCTTCTCTCTATTGCCGGCTGACGCTATCCAACCAGCAAAGCAGGAATCACAGTTCGGTAACCCCAGCTCGCCAAGAGCACGAGCTCCGTACACACAGCTGGAGCGGCCTGAAATACTGTGCCAAGGAAGGAACCAAAACCACGATTTTAGGCGTTTATATGACTGTGAGAAAGGGGGTGGGGGATTACAGGTCGTTTTCAAAAGCTGCCCCTCTCCAAACATTCCCTGCATGGGTGTGTTCTGTCTGGTCCTCTCTGTGCTAGTTTCCTGCTTGCATGGAGTTGCTTTTTTTAAACAGCTGTGATCCTTCATCGCTAGAGGCCACACACACACCACAAATTTGTGGCACTGCAACATCTTTGTGTCCAGTCAGGTCGCGAGTCAAGATTCCAAAAACGCCACCGGGAAGACTGGGATGTTAAGCTCCCCAGGACGTTGAAAGATCTAGCGGCAGAGCATCAGACAAGAAAGCCCCGGCCACAGCTCCGTTCTCTGCAGTGAAACAGTAGGAAATCTCCCACTCTCAGTGGAAACCATGCACCAGCAATCAAGTTTCCCATCCACAGTTACACCTGCCTTTGCCCGGGGCTGCGGCACCTACAAGAGGGACCCGAGGCCAAGTAGCAACATGTTTTGTGGTGGTAAAAACAGTCCAGGGCTCGGGAAAGCTGAGCTCTGTTCCTCCTTCTAAAAGCGCAGGAAATTTACTTAGGCTGTGGTCACGCACATTAAATAATCCACTTTCAATGCACTTTCAATGCACTTTCCAACTGGATTATGCCAGTTCACACAGTAAAAATCCAGTTTGAAAGTGGATTGAAAGCGGATTATTTAGTGTGTGTGACCACAGCCTTAATCTCTTTCGGCCTCAGTTCGCCGGATCCTGATTATATTTCACCACAGTAGAGAGCAATGCTCCCTCTAAGCTGTGGAGTCCCGTGAGCAGAAATTCTACTTTGTGAGTTCCTGGCATTAACATTGTGAGCGAACGGTTTGGCTACTGAGCTAAGACAAAAATGTGCGAGCCGGAGGCTAAAAAACTGTGACCTAGCTCACACCAGCTCAGCTAAGAGGGAACACTGATCGAGAGGGCTTTTCTGTGCAGGTAATAGGTCTGCAGTGGAGCTCCGGTGGCTCAGGTGGTTAAGACGCTGAACTGCCGGTTGTGGAAGGTCAGTAGTTCAGCAGTTCGAGACCCGAGTGTGCCGCATGACGGAGTGAGCTCCCATCTCTGGTTCCAGCTCCTGCCAACCTAGCAGTTCGAAAGCAAGAAATTGCAAGTTGATAAATAGGCACCACTTCGGTGGGAAGGTAAGAGTGTTCCGTGCGCATTGGCGTTTAGTCATGCCGGCCACATGACCACAGAAACATCTTTGGACAGCGCTGGCTCTTCGGCTTGGAAACGGAGATGAGCACCGCAACCCTAGAGTCGGATTTGACTGGCTTTCGAGCAAGGGAAACCTTTACCTTTATCTAAAAGGTCTGCAATTGTACTAAAATAGTTTCTACAAAATTGCTTAGACTGCAGGTTAGGGACTGCGGCCTATACTGCTCCGTACGGTTTACTGCAAGTAGGATTCTCTTTATGTAATTTCTATACCGTCTAACACAGAGGTGTCAAACTCATTTGTTACGAGGGCCGGGTCAGACATAAATGTCACTCTGTCGGGCCAGGCCGTGCGTGCCATAAAAGGTAATGCCGGGTACGGGAGATAAACTTTATAAAAAGCAGCAGCTGGTAAGCTCCGAGTTGGTGTATCCTTACTTCAAGGCCCCCTGGGCTTGGGGGGGGGGGGGGGGGCAGGGGAAAAAACCCACATGGGGGGCCTGGGGGGGCGGGGAAAAAGA